AAAAAGACCAATAATACCAGTATGTTATGCATCAATAGCAGCAACAGCTTTTCCAGGTTCTGCTGTCGTCTGAACAAAATTATATACATTCAACACATTCCATTAAAAAAACAAAAACAAAAAAACAAAGAAAAGAATAAGATCCAGAAAACAGCAAAGTTCTATTGCTGTTGTGGTACCTGGCACCATTTTTTTTTTTTTTTAGCATCTAAATCATCATCTGGAAAGAGAACGTTCTAGAGTAATATCATTTAAAATAGCTCTGATAAAGCACAGTCACTACTACGTATCATAAAGCAGGTACAAGATATTTTACATTCACAGAGGTATGATACAGTACCGTCCTACCTCAATAATACTAGAATCGGTTTTGGTTTGAAATTTGCTTTGTCTGCAAATAAGATTGCTACACCTGCTTTTTTCTGGGCTCCTGTCACATGGAGAATTGTTTTCCATCCTTTCACTTTCAGTCTATGGGCTTCTTTTTGCACTAGGTGTGTTTCTTGTATACAACATATTGTTGGATTTTGCTTCTTATTCCATTTTGCCAGTCTGTTTCTCTTGATTGGTGAGTTGAGGCCATTGACATTGCTGGTTATAACTGATATGTACTGATTTATTATTGTCATGTTATTGGCCTTTTGTTGACTCTTTACTTTTTCACCTTCTTTTAGTTTCTTGCCTTGCCTATTTGATTTGCTGTGTTGGGCCTCATGATGTTGTTGCCTTCATTGTCTTTTTCTAGGATCTTGTTTAGAATTGCTTGTAGTGCTGGTTTGGTATTCATGTAGTTTCTCAGGTGTTCTTTGTCGTGGAAGTGTCTTATTTCCCCCTCCATTTTGAAAGAGAGTTTTGCTGGATACATCAGTCTAGGTTGGAGGTTGTTCTCTTTTAGTACTTGAACTATCTCATTCCAGGCTCTCCTTGCCCCAAGGGTTTGTGTTGAAAAGTCTGCTGTGATTCTGATGGGCTTTCCTTTGTATGTGATTTGTTTCTTTTCTCTTACTGCTTGTAGTATTTTGTTCTTCTGTTGGGTTTCTGGAATCTTGATTATTATATGTCTAGGTGTAGATTTTTTTTGATTGTAGCTAGTTGGGGTCCTATATGCCTCAGTTATCTGAATGTCAAATTCTTCCCCTCTGTTTGGGAAGTTTTCTGTCATGAATTCTGTGAACAGCTTTTTAAAGTCATTTGTATTTTCTCCTGTTACTTCATGTATTCCTATCAGTCTTATGTTATTCTTCTTTGGATCATCTAGGAGTTGTTGGATCGATTTCTCACGATCCCCTACTGTTTTTAAGAGACCTCTCTTTTCCTGGTCACTGACTGCAATCTTATCTTCTATATGTGAGAGCCTATCTTCCCATTCTTTTATTCTGTTGCATACACTTTCAATGGAGTGTTTAATCTCCTGGATATCTGTTTGAATCTGTTTTATGGATTCCATTTCTTTCCTATGTTGGGCGTTTATTGTTTCCTTTTCTTTCTTATGCTGGGCCTTCATGGTTTCTATTGTGGTCCTGAGCTCATCTATTTTTTTGTCAGTTTCTGCTCTAGAGTCTCAAATCACGACTTTGATTTTGCTCAACATCTCTATGGTTATCTGAGAAATTATTTCTGTTTTGAATTTTTCTAGAGCCTGATTGATCTGTTTTGTTACTTCCTGTGCTTTGAGTTCAGGGTGTCCTGGTGGTTCACTATCAGCCTCTTCATCCTCATTTGCCCTAGTATTTGCCATTGGTGAACTGGAAGTCTGTCTTTGTGTCTTAAGTGTTTTCTCATTTTTATTTTTGTTGTTGGACTGTCCTTGGTTTAATCTCTGGGTTATCACCCAAATCTTCCTGATATATTTGTGCCCTAGCTTCTGGGTCTCTAACGACCCACAGACATTCTCATCTTCATTACATCAGAAAAACAGCTCATCAAATCAACCACAATCCTTTATCCCAACTGATACAATCAGCAACACATTGTGATCAAGCATAACTTGGAAACTGACCACCTGTGGTAGTCACTAGTCTATCACCCTTAAACCATTTGAATTAATTGAAATCAAGAAGCAGTCCAGAACATGTCTACAGTGAACAAACTTTTCAATGTAGTATATTTACCATTTAATGGCTCAGACAGCTAGGATGCAAGACCCCTGATCTCAGTTAGCTGATGGCTGAACCCCATGACGCAGACTGACCTCAGGCTGCAAGGCCCAGATTGAGTTCTCCCACCTTTCAAATGGTTGAACTCCACATCGTTCTACTACAGGTTTCCCACATCCTTTCTTTAAAGATGTTCAAATTTGGGAACTCAGAAAAATACCCTTTATGACAACCTCTGCCTCTGCAGAGTGGGTCCAAAGACTGGCACAATCAGGAGGTCTGAAAGTGCGTGCCAGGGGGTGGGGTAAAAGGATTTATGGGGGTTCAGGGGCACCCGTGTGGCTACCTTCCTGGTGCTGGAGTGATGGCAGCTCCTGGCGGGAGAAGGCATGGCTCTCCTTCTATAATCTTTATTTTTAAATGTAATGGTATAGTATGATCTTTGGTGGGATAAAGAAATATGTAACTGCATCATTATTTCAAATGGCTTCATAATGCTTTGTTGGGAAGATGTAACAGAGTGATTCTCAGTGGTATGAAATATACCTGCAGCCCTTCTGCAGAACTGCTAACTCATAGGAGCTGAGTGGGGCAGAAGGCTTGTAAGGT